ATCAATTTTTGAATTGTCTACCTCTACATCATATCCTTCAATTTTTGTGCATTCGCTTGCAAAATTGTAAAGTTTTCAAATGCAGCTTACTTTTAGCTAATGTCTTCAGTGTCTTCCGTTTCTGTTAGAAATTCGATTCGAAATTTTAGTTGTGCATCTAATTGGTATGTGGCTTGGATAAGTGGTCTGAAACATGCTTTAATGGATCCTTAACCTATAAAATACATGTGCATGGGCTTTTCAATGCTGTACTTGCCCCTCTCTATGCAGATTCCACGGTAGTATTTTTGTTTTCTTTGGTTGCTTTGTGAACTGTAGGCTTTTGCCATTGTCTTCTGTGGAGCGTGCATGTTTTTGTGCATGTGTCTTGTTGAGCTATTCATGACAGTTCTGGTTGTAATATCTGTTTGTGCTGTTGAAGGTTGAGTTTATGCCAAAATTTAGCGTGAGGGGTATTTGGCAGAGGTGGCGAGAAGCATATCCAATTAATGGATCTAATGCAGATGATGGCATAACGGTCTTTACTGGAGTAAGTGCACTTTGTATGTCAAGGATTTTAATGCTAAAGAAGCTCACTATCTATGCAACATGAAGATCTATTGCAGGGTGTAACATATTATAATTTCACTGGAATTTAAAACTTTGGGAAATGTCGTCTTATTTTAAACATCAGTTATCTGCTGGCTGTTCATTTGTTTATTGGTTTTATAATCTTCAAGGCATAAATTGAGTGGTAAACTTGGTATGCATCCTTGCATTGCATGTCTCAGCATACTGATTTAGTTGCAAAATAATTATCTTTATTTAGTTGGGCTGCAAGTTATAGCTATTTTTGTGTAGGTTCCAACCATGTATGCTCGATTGATACAAGCTCATGAAGCAATGGATCCAGAGCTAAAAGCCACCTCTGCCAATGCCGCAAAACAGTTGCGTCTAATGGTAAGTAGCCTGAAAGCTGTTTCTTGACCCAGTAACATTTTTGTTTTTAATTTGTAGTATGAAGTAAGATGCTTTTTTTTTTAAAAAAAAAAAAAAAAAAAAAAAAAAAATTTTATTGGATCTTTACCGGAAATGCATATGACAGTCTATAACTTAGATATATCAGCTATAGCCCCTGCAGTGAACTACCCTATTGTTGTGCAAAAGGTTCCTTAAATTCAGATTTGGTCGTTCCTCTGTTTATGAGTCTTTGGTGAATGCCCATAACTAAGAACCTTATTTATTTGTCATAGATGTGTGGTTCCTCTGCACTCCCTCTTCCTGTAATGCAACAATGGGAAACCATCACAGGACATCGTCTTTTGGAACGATATGGCATGACAGAGGTAAGTGATATCCAGTTTCATTACTTTCAATTTACTATTATCACTTTTTGAAGAGGCCGATGCAGTTTAATATTTTCCAAAACTGAAAAGATGAGTTAAGCTTATACATATATGGTTTCCGATGTTTTTAGTTTGTCATGGCAATATCAAACCCCTTAAGAGGTGAGCGGAAAGCAGGCACGGTTGGAAAACCATTTCCGGGTGTGGAGGTGAGTGAGCTACAGGTTGCAAAATATACTTCCGGTAGCAGTTTAACTTTTAAAAGCCTTGTGAAGGAAGCTTTTGCTTATGCAGAATTTTTAGTTGCTTGCCCTCGAACTGAAGGGAGCCACTGATAATAGCAAAATCATTAGCATTTAATTGGTGGACTTTTTGTTGCTTATTCACAAAGACTAATTAGTGGTCTTTGAAACAATTAGTAAATTGTTGATAGAATGTGGTGTGATGTCTCACAATTGAGATTGGAGATTATACTATCTTAATAAGAAGTAACTACAAATTATATACATATATATTTATGTTGGACTTTCTCAATATAAATCATCATCTGTTATAGGTAAAGATTGTTGCTGAAGATGAAAGTGGAAGTGATACTACAGGCGTGGGTGAGCTGTGTGTCAAAAGTCCGTCATTATTTAAGGAATATTGGAAGCTTCCTGAGGTAATTTCTGATATCATAAAGTTGATGCTACATGCGATAAAATACCCATACTCCACATGCCCACTCACTCGCACACACCTTGCGCGTATATGTTTGTGAGATGTCCAATAGTATTAACTTCTGATTTAAGAATGTAAAATGGAGTATATACATTATCCATATATGGCATAATTATATTTTGAAGAATCTCAACAAATTTGTCACCGTTATGGTCGTTGTCTAGGTAACAAAGCAATCATTTACAAGTGATGGATACTTCAGAACTGGAGATGCTGGTACAGTGGACGAAGATGGGTACTACATCATATTAGGACGTAAGGATATCTATCAATAACTCGCATTCCTGTGATTTTGATGCTTGTGGTTAACAATGCAGATATGTAAAGGACTTTTCGCTTATGAATTCATTTTTCTTCTTCTCTCCTTTTTTATGACATTTATCAGGTACCAGTGCTGATATCATGAAGGTTGGTGGATACAAGTTATCTGCGTTAGAAATTGAATCAGTTCTTTTACAGGTGGGTTTTTGTACCTCCATTCCTGTTTTGTTATAGACGTGCAACAATTTCTCTCTTTGCGAGTCAATCTATAGAAACAAAAAACAGCAATTAAAGTGCTGAATGAAGTATTGAATCTTTCTAACTAAAACCACCCGTTTTTGTGTAGCACCCAGCTGTGGAGGAGTGTTGTGTGTTGGGTTTACCAGACAGAGACTATGGAGAAGTTGTTTGTGCAATAATTGTGCCAGGGGCGGAAACAAAGAGGAAGCAGAAGGAAGAACTGAAACCTGCTATAAGCTTGGAGGAACTATCCTCTTGGGCCAAAGACAAACTTGCACCATACAAGGTATTATTCATCATCATTCACATTTTGTTTTTCTTCGTCCAATTAGAGCTGTAAGACCACTCTAGTTTTGTCGATAGAAGCCTTCGGCAATTCTACTATGCCTTTTGAAGTTGCTAGGTCAAGTTTCCCCGTGTTCATCCATAGCTTGCTGGTATCGGTGTTTGCCATTGTAGCTATATATACTCCACCTTTATTCCTTTTTGTGATTGTGGGAGGGGATGGAAGGTGGTCAAATTCTTGATGAAAAAGTATATAACGTATCCTTTAAAAACACATATTGCAAGTAATGAAACCATATTCGCACTACAAATAACTACGTTACATGTTTCCAGATACCAACGCGACTGATTCTGTGGGATTCACTACCTCGGAATGCTATGGGAAAGGTATTTTACTTTTTCATTTCCATATTTTCTATAAAAGCATTGCACTTTCGTATTTATTTACTCATGGACTTGTAAGGATCCGATCGCAGGTGAACAAGAAAGAGTTGAAGAAAACTCTGGCTCCTGACCAATCGACTTGATAGGAAACCGGAAAAGGAAAGGAAGAATATCTGTCTGTTCATTCCCTTCTTGTGTATATATCTGAATAAAGAACAAAGGATGAAAATGTACGAGTGATTCAGTAAAACGTAAAGACGGTATGTCATCCTTGAAAAAACATATTACAATTGAAATTCGTTTGTTCATTCAAATTTATAGAACACGGAAAATTGGGCAAGAAAATTATTTTTAAAAAAATAAAATGAGGCGCCACCACCCAAGAAAACAGCACCTATTTTTGTTCTCCGTTTATTTTTTGGTAAAATCTGTACTTTAACTTTAAATAACTAAAAAGTTGACGAAATTAACAAAACTAATCATAAAGACAATATATAATGGGGTGTGATATCTACACATTCTATTTTACTTTTCATATATCTTTTTAATTTTCGGCCTTCAGATCAGATGAATAGAAGAAGATCAACGGACAGAAATTATCAAGAATGTGTGAGAAGTAAAATATGGTGTGTAGATATCACACCCCTATATAATATAATTTGAAAAAGCTGACGAAATTAACCATAAAGACTAGACCTGGCATTCGTGTCGTGTTTTTCGTGTTCGTGTAGTTTTCGTGTCATACTCGATATCTTAACAGGTCGTGTCGTGTAACACCTGTTAAAATAATCGGATAAAATGATCTGACCCGAAATCGACCTGATAATATTAACAGGTAATATGACCCGACCCGTTACCTGTTAAGGAAAATATATTTTAAACCAATAAATAATCAAATGAAAAACATAATACTAAATAAGTATATACATATCATATTGTCACATCCAAAACATAAAAACGCATTTTTCTTTTAAGTATATATTTACATACCCAAAATAAAAGCATAATAAAACAAACATTAGAACATTACAAAATATCAAATGTTCAAAATATTTGCAAAATTAAAGACATTGGAACATTAGAACATTGGAACCTTGCACATTTTCTTCCAATCAAACCCTTCAATTTTCCTCAATCACCATGGGAAACATGTTAAGTAAATTTATCTTAGTAATGATAATAATGAACTCTCATAATAAAAATAAATAATGATTATTTAAAAAAAAAACTTATATAGAATAATAATACAAAACTATATATTTAATATAGAATATATTGTATATATTAATATGGCTATTGTATTTTATAATAAATCTTTTAGTAATTAAATTTTAAAATTATCAAAATAATTTTTTTCTTAACGGGTTATCCATGTATTACCCGCATGTATACCTGTTAAGAACTTGTTATTAACGGGTCATCCGATAATGACTCGATTAGTTATCGTATTGATAAAAAATCCGTTATTTTCATGTCTTTTTCATGTCTTATTACCGTATCGTGTCAGAAACCGCAGGGTCTAATAAACAGGATGCACAACATAATTGAGAACTAGAGCCGGTTAAAGGACAAAAACTAAGCGCGTTACAATTAAGCCTCTTTGTGTTAAATTTATGAAGAGAAACGACATCGGTTAGGAGTCGAAGGCGAGGGTGTTTTTGGTAAATTAACTTTTGCTGGCGGTTGAAGAAAGGTCGGCCGGCCTGAGATTTTAAACTACTGCGAGACTGACTCTTGAGTGGAATCCTCAACAAGGAAGAAGAAGAAGACGACGACGACGTTTTGGGGATCGAGTGGGGGCGAATAGTAGAAGCTTAGGAAAATGGCGAAGGGACTGCAACAACAACAAGGGCAAAACCTGCCATCGGATTTGACCCAAGTCATTGATCAGCTGGAGCGCCACTGCTTGGCTCCCGATGGTTCTCTCGTCTCCAAATCTGCCTACTTCGACCTCCAACTCGTACTCTCTCTCTCCCTCTCTCTTATATATGCACACATTTTCCTGCCTTGTTTGGTTGGTTAGAAAATGTGGCTGCAAACCATAACAAGCAGGTTGTGTGACTGCAAACCCTTTACACAATTTACAATTGATTTGATTTTTTTAAAATGTGGACTGTTTCTGCAGGCAAGGGAGGAAATGTCCCGGGAAAGATTGCGATACTTGGAAGCCATGGTACTTTTTTAATTTTTTGGGTTTGTGCTGATTGCACTGGTTGTTCTTTATCTGGCAGTGATTTTGTAATGTGTGTGTGTCTGTATGGTGGGTTTGGATTTTGATGTAGGCATTGTATAGTGAGGCAATTGCAATGGTGGAGGAGTATCAACAAGCGGTTTCTGTGGCTAACCTTGGAGGCATTCGGGATCTACAATTGGGCTTGAAGAACCCTCCTCAGGTTTCAATTCGACTCGCCCATTGATCCTGCTTTGTTGTTTTTGATTTTGAGATGCATTTTACATCAAGTGTAGTGAAGTCATGATTTAACCTTCTGATCCTAATTCCGAACAAATTTATAGTATTTTGAATGTTAAATAGGAATCTCATTTTAGGTAATTATCTTCTTTCTATAGTTTCTGTATCAAATAGAATCTATAGAAGGATACCATTGAGCTTCCATGCAAAAGACCACAGCCCCCATATGATTTTACAATAGTGATATGGATGTTCGTGCAAAAATATTAACTTTTATTTAACCATTACTCTAAAGATATCGAAAGTAATGGATTTGTATATTTGATTAACATTCAATGACATAAAGCGAACTCAATCTTTGTTAATTGCTCAAATGCGACCTCAGTATTCTATTCTATAATTGAGTTATTAAATTGTCTAAAACGGGTGAACCTGTCTATATCAGTTGTATGAGACATTAGAGCATCGTATGATCGTTTCAGAAGCAGCTCAAAGACTGAGGCTTCCTCTTATCTCCAAAGATGGTGAAATTCACGAGGAAGAAATTGAAAAGTGTAGTACCATGTCACGCAGTTCTCTAGAAAGTACCAGTACCAGTGTTACGGTCAGCTCAAGCTCCAACTCAACAAATTATAATGCTGTGACTAGCACTGCTAGTGGCGCAAACAACAATATTTCTCTTAGTGCAACTGAAACTGTGGAATCTGGGGTTGGTGGTATTCCCAATTGCTTTCTTGGAATAACACCTGCATATTTATGGCAAACACAGCTCCTACAAACACCGTTGTCAATGGTACAAACCTCATTATGGTTCCAGCAATGATTCACTTTCTTTTTTATTTTCCATTTTATTTACTTATGTTTTATTTTCTCCATCCAAACATATCTTTTCTTTATAGAATCTGTTACTTTTACTTGTTTGTACTTCCATAGCAAAAAGATCTAACCTTGTCTTAGTGAAGCTGTCCCTTATTTATTGGAAATTGAGATACATCTACAATGTTTCAACTGCAGGATATGACAGAATACCAGTTGTGTCTTTCCCAAGAGATTGAAGCTCGTTTAAAAGCTAAATGTGATAAGCTAGCTGATGCCTTTATAATGGATGACATTGGTATCTATCTCTCTCTCTCTCTCTCTCTCATGTATGAACTGAAATCCATAGCCGTTGCAAACTTATAATGTATCATTGATCTACTCTGAGGCCATAATCAACTTTTGTGGAAGTCAACAACTGTCATTTGTGTCAAAGTGTTGATCAGAGGCAGTTCAATTTTGTTTCTTATATATTCTGGAGAGAGAATATCCAGATTGACTGCTCTAAAGCGTCAAATGCAAAAATTGGTCTGATGATATTCTCTTTCCGGGAGGGGGCATGGGGTGGTTGAGTTTACTAATATCTAAAGTTAATTGTGAAATTATTATGTGCTTACCCATGCATAATGCTAATGGTTAAAGGCATTATTAATGCCACTGCTTTGTTGCTGCAGACTCGTCATCTGGGCATCAAAATTCAAGTTCTCGGCTTCCAGAAAGGTTTGAGTTACTCTCTCTCTTGATATAGTTTTGGTTGTATGAGAATTCCTTTTCACATGGAGAAAGATGCTTTTTAGCCATGCTTGGAAATCTATTAGACGTTTACAATAGTCTGTTACATAAGCTAGTAGAAGACTGGAGTAGTTGCATTTAAATTTTAAAGAAAATGCTTAACTACTCAGTGGCTCAACATGATTATCGCCTTTTCCTTTTACTAAAGTATTTATAGTTCATTCTCAGCATCAGTATCACCTTCCATATTTCCTGCTCTTTGCTTAAGTGCAGTGCAGTGATAAACCAAAGATTGTGGTGAATCTATAAATTTCTAGAACCACTGTTCTAATATTCTGCTATTAGTGTGACCCATAATTTGTTCCTCTTTTCTAATGACTTTATCAGGGTAAAGTTGATAATTGAGGAGATGGAAAGGGAAGAAACAGCTCTGCGGGAAGATCTATATTCCGCAGATAGAAAATTTGCTGAATATTATAATGTATGAATATAAATGAAAAAACATTGTTTCATGTTCTTGAAGTTTCATACCAGAGCATTTTGTTTTGTGACAGTATAGTTTTTTCATTTATTTATAAAGTTGTGTTTCTGCAAAACCTAGGTCCTGGAGCAGATACTGGGAGTGCTTATCAAGCTGGTCAGAGATTTGAAGTTGCAACATCAACATAAATATGTAAGATTCCAATAATTGTGATGGTTAATGTGTTTTTAATTACACTTAACAATATGCCTTGAGCATTTTTTTTTTCCAAGTGTCCTTTCCTTATGATTCTGTATTCCACGTTGTTGAGCATTCTTGAACCTTTATTACAATTAATGATTGATAGGACGGACTGCAAAAAACATGGCTGTGCAAAAGGTGTGAGACCATGAGTGCAAAATTGAGGTTCGTTACGTGGTTTTTCGCACTGTAATTGTGTATTTCTGGCATTAATGTTGCTTAATGGTCGTTTTCTATATGTTTATGAAGAATGCTCTTTGTGACGCTTCTTGTGCAAACAGACGACATTCATCAATCACCACTGGCTGTACTTATGTTTTCCGTTTATTGGATCAAATAAATGAATAAATTAATTGTATGTCATGACTATAATTTGCTGGAGTGCTTCATTTTATTTCAGGGTCCTAGAGCATGTTCTCCTTCTGGAAACTTATACTAAGGAATCAATACCGGCCCTACATAAAATAAGGTACCTATCGATGATTATTTCAAAGTATGTGTGGCTTACTGGTTCGAGGTTATTTTAATAATTTTATATCTCATTTCTAGGAAGTATCTCCTTGAAGCTACAGAGGAAGCTTCTATTGCATATAATAAAGCGGTATGATATTCTAGTTCATCTCCCTCTCTTATTTACTATGTGGTTTTGCGCTCATGCTTTCATGAGTTGCTTTTATATGTATGTGCCCCAGCACAGACATTTATAATGATTTTGACTATCATTCAAGCCTTCTAGCAGCACTGTAGGCTGCTTATTGTAATATTGTATTTTCCCGAACGTTTTACTTTTAGCTTGATTACTGCAGTGTTTCATGTCTATTGTGCCTGCTTGTCTGTAAGTCATTGTTGTTTTAAATCGACATCCAAAATCTATCAGGCTATAAATTGCTTGAAATTTTTGTAGTGTTAGGCTTTTGGGTTTTCTTGACAAATTTGATGAGATAAGAAAGTTTTCAATCTGCCGTTATTTCTATATCACTTGTTACTGGTTATTTAGAGCAACTCCTATGGGCTCCCTAAATGAGCTCATAGCTAAAATTTAGGAGAAAAAGGAAAAATTAATCTCCAATCACACTCCCGATCACGCTCCTAGTATAGAAAAACCTGTAGGAGCTCCAAAATCTATTGGTTCAGTCATTATCTCTCCCTAAATTAGCTAGCATGGTAGGAGTAGAAATTTTCTAGGGAGCATCTTATATAACTTTCTAGTCTTCTTAGCTAAAATTTGCCTTGAAAATATAGAGCATGGTGGGAGATGCTCTTGACATTGTAGATATTGTGAACATGGGGATGCTCACGACATCTATAGAAAATGCTTAAGTTGCTAATATATAGTTAAGATATGCCGAGCCAAGTGTTCTGACATGTATACAACTTAACCTCATCATTTTGTTACTTTTTTCCTGCATCTCCCCTGCTGGCTTTCTTTATTAATATATGATTCATCTTTCTTTTAACCAGGTTACACGTCTTCGGGAGTATCAGGGTGTTGATCCTCACTTTGATACAATTGCAAGGCAGTACCACGATATTATAAAGGTAACAACAATGCGTACAGTTGTACATTACCTGTTTCCCGTGTGCAACGCTGATATGAACATCCCCTTGCAGAAATTGGAAAATATGCAGTGGACAATCCACCAAGTTGAAATGGACTTGAAGCGACTCCCAGATCACGCAAATGCATAGAATCACCGCACGTTGGTCCTGGTTGGTGTGTCTTCTGAGTTTCCTATTTTCTTGTAATGGGCCCATGCGTCCAACTGATTCATCAGAATCATCACCGGCATGCTGATTGTTTAGCTTGTGACTCTAGTTATAAGCAAGATTGGTCATAGACATTTGAGTAGTGTGTATAACTCTGCACATTAAAAGAATTGTAAACATCTCCCCACCTATGTGTTCTATACAATATGATTTTGCGGATATGATCACGTTTACATACAAGCCAATTTTCACTACTGTCTAAGCGAGTACAAATTAAAATATCATGTCCCCGACTCTCTTAATCGTGATGTATCAAATGTGAAGACATACGAACACAAATAAACATAAACTTCGTTACATGCAAGTCTCTCTTAATTCACACAAACATAAAGCTTGGAGCCGAACAAATAACCTCGTGTTCGTGCTGGTGAAATATTCCATAATTAATGTCAAACATTGTTTGGTAAACTATATAATGTCAAACATTATATTCACGGTAGGGTTAGCATGATCCAAAACCTAATACCCAAAAATAAGACAATTTCTTAATCTTGGGACAGAAATAAGACAATTCCCCACGACATGCACACGCCATGCACAATAATCGAACATAAATATGATTTTTTCTACACCTTGAAGTGACTTAATTGTCTTCGTATATAAATGGGTTATTTCCTCTAATTTTCTGATTTCTCTCTACTCTCTCTCCCTCCTCTCTTCTCTCACTTTCTCCCTCATGCACTCTCTCTCCCCTTCTCACTGTGCACACATAGTGCACAGTCGTCCTGACCAGCACCTTCCAAATTGAAGCCACCACCAATTTCATCTTGTCCTCAAGAGTCAAAAACACCTAGCCTTGTCACGAATCTCATCCCCGATCGTTGCGATCGAAACTCAAGCAGGTCGTGAGTTTTTTTGAACATTTTCTGGCAACACAGCAAACAATCGAGGCTCGAGACCACCACAACTGGACTGGCATCAAGGATGGGAACAAAGCCCAGTCATTAAATGCTGGTGTTTTGTTGGATGAATTTTTCATGATTTGTTACGTACATGACATGCACATGATATGCTCATAGATTTGAGCCAACCTAAAAACTCAGAGATCATAGCTCTCTCTTCGAAATCAGAAAAATGACGTCATCACCTATCTATATACGCTATATACACACCACATGCACATCATATGTACAATACATGCACTTGATATGCACATAACTAGAGATCGAGCAACGAGCTGCTTTTCGCATTAATAAGAAACTTTAATGGCAACCTATTGGTATAGTGGATACAATTAAAACATAATTGCTACGTGTATCAATCATTGCTTAACTGTGCACATGAAAAACATGATACTCATTGTCGTTATTTCATGGACATGCATGATCCTCAACGTCCTCTAAGCTTTTTTCAATTTTTTTTTTTTTTTTGCCGAGGCCAACTAGGTTGTGGTCATACTCGCTAAATTTTGAGGCACAACATACGTGCATCATAACTAGTGAACATTTCTGCTTCTCATATTAAGATGTAGCCATACACACCATATGCACATTGCAGAAAAAATTTCACAAATTTTTGCAATTTAACACTTGAACCAGAAATTGTTCCATCCTAGTTTTTTAGCACGTCAAAACATGAAATTTATTCCACAACCCATGGCCCCTAACATGAAACACAAACCCTAATTTAACTTCTAAGTATTAACTCATCTTACAAACAACCCATTTATTTCGTAGATCATTGATGAAGGAACTTGGAACTAAACACCCTACCTTACTATGCCTGCCGAAGCTTCAATCGTGGGAAAGAATGGAACTTTCTGGCCAAAAGAGAAAATATGGTACAAAACCCAGCTCACTCTTCTCACTTTCTCTCGCATCCATTTGTTGAAAATTAGAGGTATGAGGTCAACCTAAAACCCAACTCACTCTTCTCACCTCTCTTTGGACTTCCCTTTCTTAGAAATCAGAGCTCAACATAGAAACCCAGAGCTCATAGAGCTCTCTTGACATCCCTCTCTTCCAAATGAGAAAATTGATGCAATGGACTTTTGATTTTTAGTATTTATATGTTGGTGTTTTAGTAATTTCGGTTTTGTGCATGGTGTGCATGGCCCGTTTGTCCTATTTTTGTCTCGAGATTAAGAAATTGTCCCATTTTGGGGTATTTCCCAATATTTTATTTTGTATATAAGTTTGAAAGGCCTAAAAGGTATGTGTCAACATCGTTTATCAAAAGGATTAGTAATTGAAATGTCCCCTAAAACGGTCATTTGATCTCAGTTTACCCCTTAAAATTGGTTTTGTCTAACTTTACCCTCTGAAACTGACGTTTTCAACTATTTTTGGTCTCATTTCACCCCATTCCATTAAAGAATCCTTAAAATCAAGAGTATTGTTGATATTTTAGATTTTAGGGTTTAGTTAAGTAAAAGCTTATTAAGTACACATCTCTTTATATTTGCCTCCTGAGTTCAATCGATTATTTTTTTGGTTTGGGAAGTATTTTAGGCTAGATAGTTTAATGGTTTTTGTGAGATTATATTTTGTGCAATTGATTTGAGATCATTTCTTTATGGGTGAAACTTTTGGTTAGACCAATTTCGATGAGAAAGATATAATGAAATAGGTTGATCATGTTTTCTTTCTATTTTAAGGAGTAATTTTCAAGTGCAAAGTTTCGAGCCAATACATGGATGTCTTTCAAGTGAAAATGACTTTAAGAAAATGCAACCCTTATTTTGGTTGATATAAGATTTTTCTATTGATTGAATAATTTATTTTACACTGGCCCCAAACTCATGGATTTGAATTAGAGTTGTCAAAAAATGGAACTGAAATTGGTTTAGTGTGTAGGCTAGAGGTAAATAGATTTATAAAAAGTAAATGTCTACCATACCATTGAATTTAAGGGTTCTTTAACGGAATGAGGTGAAGTGAGACTAAAAAAGAGTTAAAAATGTTATTCAAGAGGTAAAGTGAGGTAAAACCAATTTCAGGAGGTAACCTGAGACTAAATGGCAGTTTCAGGGGGCATTTCGATTAATAAGCCTTTTTCGAAATAATCATTTAAATGGACATGTGGGCAAGGAGAAGTTATTCATAGGAGGAGATTTAAATGGACATGTGGGGTAAGGAGACAGGCAACTATGGAGGTTTTCATGGTGGCCATGGTTTTTGTGAGAGAAATAACGATGGGGAAGTCATCTAGGATTTTGCAATGACATACGATCTCTTTTTAGCCAACACTTTCTTTAAGAAGAGAGAAGAGCATGTGATCACCTACAAGAGCAAGTCACCAAAAACACAAATAGATTTCCTTTTAATGAGGAAGGGTGATCGTATAACTTGTAATGATTGCAAAATTATACTGGGAGAGAGCTTGGCAAACCAACATCCCTTGTTGGTGATGATGTACATATAAAAAGAAATAGAAGAAAGAACTAGACCTTGAAGTGTCCAAGGACTAAACGGTGGAATCTAAAAAGAGATATCAAAGAGAAAGTACCCACCCAATGCGTTTGGGATACATACGCTAGCTAAATGTGGGATTCCATGGCTAGTTGTATCCGAAAAATGGCAAAAGGGGTATTAAGAGAGTCCAAGGGGTTCGCTCTACATCAAAAGAAATCTTGGTGGTGGAATGAGGAGGTACATGCAAAAGTTAAGGCTAAGAAGGAATGTTGTAAAGCCTTATACATGGATAGAACCGACAAAAACTGTGAAAAGTATAAAATAGCGAAGAAGGAGGCAAAGAAAGCTGTGAAAGAAACAAAGCTAGCATCATTTGACGATATGGATAAGCGATTGGATACCAAAGAAGGAGAGTTGGATATCTATAAACTAGTTAGAGCTAGGGAAAGGAAGACAAGAGACTTCAACAAAGTAAGGTGCATTAAGGATGAGAATGGAAATGTTCTAGCTACAGAGAACGCAGTTAAAGATAAATGGAGAGGGTATTTTCATAATATGTTCAATGAAGAATATGAAATGAGTACTTCTTTGGGAGTTGAGTAACTTAGAAGAGTGAGAAACTACTCATTCTACTGCCGAATCAACAAGTTAAGTGTGGTTGTAGTTTTGAAAAAGACGAAGAATAGAAAGACATTGGGCCCAGATGATATACCGATCTAAGTGTGAAATGTCTTGGGAGAGACGGGTATAGCATGGCTCATAAACCTTTTCAATAAGATTTTGAAAATGAAGAAAATGCCAAATGAGTGGCGAAAAAGCACTTTGGCGCCTGTCTACAAGACTAAGGGCGACGTACAAAATTGCATGAACTATAGGGGTACTAAGCTAGTCATACAATGAAGCTCTGGGAGATAGTAATTGAGCATAGACTAAGGCAAGAGACATGGGTCTTAGATGATCAATTCGGGTTCATACCAAGGCGCTCAACCATGGAGGCAATCTATCTCTTATGAAGATCGATGGAAAGATATAGAGATATGAAAAAGGATTTGCACATGGTCTTTATAGATTTGGAAAAAGCGTATACTAGGGTCCCAAGAGATATTCTTTGGAGGATTTTAGAGAAGAAAGGACTACGAGTAGCATATATCCAAGCTATAAAGGATATGTACGATAGAGGAAAAACTGCCATAAAAACTCATGAATGACAAACCGAAAGTCTTCCCACAATTGTAGGGTTATATCAAGGCTCATCTCTAAGTCCTTACTTTTTTTCATTGGTAATGAATGAGTTAATGAGACATATCCAAGATGATATTCCTTGACGTATACTTTTTGTAGACGATATAGTGTTGATAGATTAAACTCAAGAAAGAGTAAATGTGAAGCTTAACCTTTGGTTGGAAGTATTGGAATCTAAAGGTCTTCGCATAAGTAGGTCAAAGACAGAGTATATGGAGTGCAAGTTCAGTGGGAATATAGGTTCAAATGATTTAAGGGGTGAGGATTGGAGATAAAAAAGTACCAAAGAACGGACGTTTTAGCTATCTTGGATCTATCTTGCAATAGAACGAGAATTGAATGGAGGTTTTAATCATACAATATCAGTTGGATGGATGAAGTGGAAGAGTGCACTGGGTGTGTTATGCGACCATTGTACACCACTGAAGCTCAAGGGAAAATTTTATAGGACGACAATAAGGCCAACAATGCTTTATGGCATGAAGTGTTGGGCAGTGAAGCATCAACACGTACACCTAATGAGTGTAGCAGAGATGAGAATGCTTTGTTGGATGTGTGGGCATACG